ATATCAGTACTGTCTTTTGGGATATTTTGATGAAATACTGGTACATTACCATATAAACAGACTGAGGAAAAAAAAATACCACATGATTATCTCACTGGATGTCAAAAAAGCCTTTGACAAAATCCAACACCCCTTCATGATAAAGGTCTTGGAGAAATCAGGGATAACAGGAACATACCTCAACATAATAAAAGCAAGCCGACAGCCAACATCAAATTAAATGGAGAGAAGCTCAATGCAATTCCTCTAAAATCAGGAACAAGACAAGGCTGTCCACTTTCTCCATACCTATTCAATACTGTCCTTGAAGTTCTAGCTAGGGAATAAGACAACAAAAGGAGATCAAGGGAATACAAATCAGAAAGGAAGAAGTCAGACTCTCACTATTTGCAGATGATATGATAGTCTACATAAGTGACCTGAAAAACTCTAGCAGGGAACTCCTACAGCTGATAAACACCTTCAGCAAAGTGGCAGGATACAAGATTAACTCAAAAAAATCTGTAGCCCCACTATATACGATGACACATTGGTGGAGAAAGAAATCAAAGAAACTTCACCCTTTATAATTGCCACAAACAACATAAAATACTTTGGGGTAACACTAACCAAAAAAGTGAAAGACCTGTACCATAAGAATTTTGAGTCTCTAAAGAAAGAAATAAAAGAAGATACCAGAAAATGTAAAGATCTCCCATGCTCTTGGATAGGGAGGATCAACATAGTAAAAATGGCAATCTTACCAAAAGCAATCTACAGATTCAATGCAATCCCCATCAAAATCCCTACACAATTCTTCACTGACCTTGAAAGAACAATCTCAATTTTATATGGAGAAACAAAAGACCCAGGATAGCCAAAACAACCCCGTACAACAGAAGAACTTCGGGAGGCATCACCATCCCTGACTTCAAGCTCTATTACAGAGTTATAGTCCTGAAAACAGCTTGGTATTGGCACAAAAATAGACAGGTAGACCAATGGAAGAGAATTGAAAACCCTGATATTAACCCACACACCTACGAACACCTGATTTTTGACAAATAATCCAAATTCATACAATGGAACAAATAGACTATCTTCAACAAATGGTGCTGGCATAACTGGATGCAAACGTGTAGAAGACACAAAGAACTCAAGAAGATAGTCTCCAAAACACCAAACAACCCAATTAAAAAGTGGGGTACAGAACTAAATAGACAATTCTCAATAGAGGAATCTAAAATGGCTAAAAGGCACATAAGAAAGTGTTCAACATCCTTAGCCATCAGGGAAATGTAAGTCAAAACAACTCTGAGATACCATCTTACTCCTGTCAGAATGGCCAAAATCAAAAACACCAATGACAGTTCATGTTGGAGAAGATGTGGAGAAAGGGGAACACTTCTCCACTGCTGGTGGGAGTGCCAACTTGTACAGCCACTTTGGAAATCAGTATGGGGACTCCTCATAGAAAATGGGAATCACTCTACCACAAGATCCAGCAATTCCACTCCTAGGCATATACCCAAAAGAAGCACATTCATACAACAAGGACATCTGTTCAACAATGTTCATAGCAGCACTATTTGTCATATCCAGAAACTGCAAGCAGCCTAAATGCCCCTTAGCCGAAGAATGGATAGAGAAAATGTGGAACATTTACACAATGGAGTACTACTCAGCAGAAAAAAAAAATGGAATCTTGAAATTTGTAGGAAAATGGATGGAACTAGAAGAACCCATTCTGAGCGAGGTAACCCAATCATAAAAAGACAAACATGATATGTACTCACTCATATGTGGATTTTAAACCTAGAGTAAGGGATTAGCAGCCTACAATCCACACTGCCAGAGAAAACAGTAAACAAGTAGGACCCTAAAAGAGACAAACTTTGTCCCCTGGAGAAGGGGAAAGGGTCAAGATCTCCTGAGCAAATTGAGAGCATGGAAAAGGGGGGAGGGAGCTATGAGAATGAGAAGGGAAGAAGAGAAAAGATGTAGAGGGCATGAGGGAGCAGAAAGGTTGAGTCAGGGGAAGAATAGAAGAAAGGATATGTGATAGGTAGGGTTTTAGCTAGAGGGATGGTAGGGGAGGAGGGGAAGGAGAAGGGAACTGGGATTGTCATGCAATTCAATCGTGTTTGTAACTCAAATAAAACAAAAATAAGCTTTAGTATAAAACAAACTAACAAAAACCTAGAACCTTCAGACTAACCACTACTACCCAGCACAGATCAGTTTTTAAGGTCATAGGTCAAGGGCGAAAGGAGGCTCAAGAAAATATTTAAGCATGGGAGATGGCTTCATTTCTGGGTATTTTATTCCAATACCTCCTCTGTGTCTTTTACTGAAGTGTAAAATTAGGAAAATCATCAATATAGATCTTAGGTTATTTTTCCTCAAATTTACAGCATGATCAGTTTATTTCAAGGAACTTGTTAAAGATCTAAGTTCCTAGGCTGTAGTCTGAGAAATACTATCACAGATGCCAGATGCTCATATTATTAACTGACAGGCAACTTTTTTGAATTTTATCACTAACCTACTAGTATTGTCTGAGCCAATCAAGGACTTAGAATATCATACAATTCTACAAGTCTGCTGAGCAATACAAAAAGAAATAAGTATTGTAGCAGACAATAATTACGTGCCCAATACTAAGAAACATAGCTTTTACACATGTTAAAGATAAAGAAAAACCCAAATAATAAAAAAATAGAACTTACAAATTTCTTAGCACCACGCTTTGCTTGTATCCATTCATACTCTTCTTGTGCCTTTTGGTTTGAAGTTTTCTTTTTTTTTGGAATAGTGACAGAACTTGCAAGAGAAATTAAGACATGCAAGTTAAACAATTAAGAAATGATTTAGTCAAAATTATGCAACTGTGTATTCAAATACAGTATTTATATACAAAGCATTACTAATACAAATTGGTCAAATCCACCCACCATTTTTTCTTCTCCAATCCCTTCCCTATCCTCTACACATTTCCTTAGAAACTTCATGCTTTTCTCATCATGTTGCCCATAATGGCCTGGAACTTGCAATTGTTCTTTCTGCCTCAGCTTCCCAAATGTTGGCCTTACAGATAATACAACACCAAGCCTAGTCTAAAAAAAAATGTAAAACACACACAATGCAAATATACATTTCTTATATTAGTGAGCCTAGCCTTTAATGGCTGAGCTATCCCTCCAGCCCCAAATATACATTTCTTAGTAGCTAGGCTTCATTATTGTTCAATTAAGTTACTTGTTCTTGAAAGACTAATTCAAAATTCAGATCTCTTAATTCTGATTTCATGTTCTTTTCACCTACATTCAAGTAGACTATTTCAGTCATTTTACACTTAAAACACACACACACACACACACACACACAAAACGGAGATTGTGAAAATGTTATACCATGACTTCAAAATGTATTAAGAAAACTTCTAATTCTTACCCATGTTTCCCTATATCTTGTATGAAACATTATTTACATTTAATGTGGAGAGTTTCAAAGGAAGAAAGTACATACTTTGGTGTACACAGCTCCTCTGGCTGAGACTGATGATCACTAGACTGTTCTTCACACAAAGTCTGTTCAGTGTTACACTCTTCTTCAGGCACAGGCTGGTCAACTTGTTCTTCTGAGGGAGGCAGACCAACCTTTCTCCGCTGTTTCTTGAGTCTTTCTTCTTCAGCTAAATAGAGGTGTTTCAGATGGTCTGGGTAATAATCGATGAACTGGGATTCCTGGGACATTGGTTCCTTCTTTACCTTCCATAGCAATTTCTTGTAATCTTGCTAGATCTTCAGTTTCCTCCAAAATGCAAAACCTTGTCCTAACATTTAATGATTTCAGTCACAATTATTTTCACAGAAAGTGAAAAATGAAGCTACTAGAAATGAAGTTCTTTTTTAAACGTAATATTCAAATGATAGAATTACTTGGTTTTGATTTAAACAATAGTCTAGTCAACACATTTAATGATGTACTGAGAAGGTGGCCCTTTGCCTGAATATAAGACTAACAATTGTCAGACACCCCCCCCACACACACACACCACCTTCAAAGTAAAACTAAAGAGTAAACTAAAGTCTACTACTTAACTTGAACTTATAATCGTATTCACAAATTAGAATTTCTTTAATTCATCTAAAACATCCCGGGGGGGGGGGGGGGGGGGTCCTCAGCAAATACTTAAAAATAGGGTGGGAGAATCTTACTTTTCTTTTGGAGAAACTTACTAAGCATCTATTTTCCAAAACAAAACACAAAAACACAAAAGGGGATGATGTACAACTTTCTGAACATCTGTCAATTATTAAATCGTACAAAATACTTAACCATTTGAAGCGCAATTGAGAGGCTTTACAAAGTCAAAACAGGGAATCTAAGAGAGGAGGATGAGACTGGAGCCTTTGTAATTATCAAGGCTTTGGGGCAGTGTACTTTTAACCCCATCTTTCTTTCCTTTGCTGTAGTACAGATACGAATCTGTCTAGATAGCGCAGTCTAGACCCCTAGACGCTCCGTGCTTCGGGTTAGATTCAGTTGACAGCACCGTCCCGTTCTCCCACGCAAAAGGCTGAGAAGCTAATGGACTGAGCGGGCTTAGGAACGGCTTCCCAGGTCTCAACAAAGACCCGGATGATGTCCCAAAGCTCTTTTCCGGGCAGACACCCAGCAAGCACCCTCGGCCTTCTGCACTGCTGTCGTCAGACATACCCTCTCAAACGCTTCCGGGGAAGGCTTGCTGGTGGCTAGGCCGCCAGGGCCTGCGTTTCCGACTTTGGTACTTGGATGCGACCTGAGGCGTCCTCCGGTCCGCCACTTCGAAGACGGCATCACCGGCGCCATCTTGCCCCACTAGGGTCGGGAGAACTACGGCCGACGCTGACATAATACGTCACCAGGCCGAAGCAACCAACCACCCATGTAGCGCACTCTCGGAGCTCGTCTGCTTCCGCCTGTCCGGCTTCAGGAAGAGAGGTGCCGCGCGGCCATGTTGGCGCCACCTGCAGCCCTGGAGGGCGAGCGAGCGTCATGGCAGCGCTTTGCTCTCTCCCCAGGACCCCGGACCTGCCCACACTGCACGGCAAGTTGCAGGACTTGCTGGGCTTCCTGAGGGGCGCCCTGCGCATTTCCAGCGCGCACACGGTGGACTTCTACACCCAGTCGGTGTGGCAGGGGCGGGGGGCCCTGCCCCCCGAGAGCGGGGGGGCGGCGGCGAGGGGGGCGGCGCCCGGGGGGGGAGGC